TGAAAATTTGTACTACTTTTAGGCGTCAACTCGAAAAAGTCAGAGAAAAAAAATAAGGAATATCCAGCTATTTTTTGAGAGGAACATTGATTCAATTTTTTTTTTTTTGGTATATACAGTGGAAATAGAGATTTCTTTTCTTTGATGACTTATAGTAAAATTTGATGAAGAATAATTCCTTCTTTGACTTTTACCCCAAAATATGAGTTTTTAAGGGAAATTTTGACTTACAATTGAAAAGTGCTAAATTAACAGCAAAGAAGAAAACACATAATTTCCACTTGTAGTGCATAAAATTCGAAGGAAATTTTCATAAAAACCATTGCACCTAGAGATATGGTTTATTTGGAGATTTATTGTGGAATTTTATGTAGAACATTTCTTCTTTTAAAACTTTCTGCCTAAAACGAAATTTTATACTACTTTCAGGCGTTAATTCGAAAAAAGTCGGAGAAAAAAATTGATCAAAAAATTAGGAAATATTTTTAGTTATTTTTTGGGGTAACATTGATGCAAATGTTGTTCTGGTATACAGTGGATATAGAGATTTTTTTTCTTTGGTGTTTTATAGTAAATGTTGATTAGGAATATTTTTGTCTTTGACCTCATCCTTCTAAAATGATGATTCATTGGAGATTTTGACATGACCTCACAAAAAGTACGTATTTAACCCTAAAAAGAGTTTTTAATATAAATGAATTCCAGGCGTTTAGTTACGATTTACACTCTCGAAGTTTTTTAAGACCTCTAGTAGAATTTTATGGCCAATAATTTTGTGGTACATTTTGTCCTGATACGATCCCGTTTAAAGGGAGTTTTTAACCATATTTCTGAAAAAGTACCAAAAAGACCCCCTTCTCGACATGCTTGAGGGTTAAAATATTCGACCAAAATATTACGGGTAATTTTATCAGGAATATTGCCCAAGATACTATATACCTAAAATGCATGGATTCCGAGAAATCTTAATCTGAAGATTTCCAAAAGTGTGGGTGAGGGTGGGAAGGAACTTGCCCCCTCCTATTTTTCGATGTAAACTTTTGAAACTACGATAAATGCGTCTTCTTTTTTAGCTTTAATGTCATAAACCATAATTATTGGAAAACATTTAATTTTGTCGCACAGTGTATTTCTCATGGACTCGAAAAGCAAGGATTTTTAAAGGTCTTCCTTGAAACATATTTCAAGAATTTTCGATAAATTCCTTGTCTCGTACTTTCCAAACATGAATCGTGGCCCCTTTTTTAAATATTTGCCAGGATATCCTTGTTGACCATTTGGGGATTTAAGAAAAGGCAAGGACCTCTCAGGGAATTTGGTTCAAAATATCGACTACGACTTCCTAGCTACGATATGTTGATTAAAAATTTTATTTTTCCAAGGATTTTTAAGGATTACTTTATTTTGCAGTTGCCAGGAATTGAGGATTTTAAATTACTTCCTTGGAATATATTTCAAATATTTTTAAGGACTTCCGACATTCTTAACGCCAATCTTGGGCTCTTTAAAAATAGTTTCAAGGATATCCTTGTTGCAAATAGGGGATTTAAAAAATTCAAGGACCTCTCAAGAGGTTTAGTTCAAAATACCGACAACGACTTGCTAGCTATGAAATGTTGATTAAAATTGTATTTTTTCCAAGGATTTCCAAGGATAACTTTATTTCACAGTTACTTTCTGGCCAAGAATGGTTTCCTAGGACTCCTCGCCAGGAATCTCGTTTTTTTCTAAATCTTGCCCGGTATTTAAGACAACATTTTGGATCTTTTAATGTTTGGGTTCCTAAAATGCCAGGATTCGCAGATTTTTTTTTCTCTGAAAAATCCTAGCTGGGATTAAAAAAAAATTTGGATGACACCTCAAAGATTTTCGCTCAAAATGTCGGCAAGGACTTTCTAAAAAATTGTATTTTCAATTATTACCCAGTCGCCTGTCGCCTGGACTCTATTTCGTAATTAATTCCTGAGCAGGAATTTCGGATCTTTTAAGGAAATATGTTCTAGGACTCCCAACCAAGAATCTCGATTTTTTTTTTTTGAATCCAAGGGGATTTAAGAAAAATTCGACTGTTTTCAGGAATCGCGATTTTTTTTTTTTTTTTTTGAAAAATCCTAGCCTCGGAATAAAACAAAATTTCAAGGACATCCCAAGGTATATCATTCAAAATATCGCCAAGGTTTTCTTATCTACGAAATGTGGATAATTTTTTTTATTTTTTCCACGGATTTCCCGAGGACATGAAGACTGAATTTCGTAATTACTTCCTGGCCAAAAATTTTGGGTATTTTAGAGCATGATTTCCGAGGACTACGATCTAAGAATCGTAGAATTATTTTGAAAAATCCTGGCCGGGATTTAAAAAAATTCCAAGGACATCCCAAAGGATTTTGTTCAAAATATCGGCAAGGACTTTTTAGCTACGAAATGTTGAAAAAAAATTGTTTTTTTTAGGATTTTCCAGACACATATCGTCGAATTTTTAAAACATATTTTTCAAGGACTCTATTTCGCAAATACATCCTGTCGAAAATTTTTGGATCTTGTAAAGACTAGATTCCTAAGACACTTCACCCGGAATCTTTTTTTTTTTTTTTTTTTTTTTTGAAAATTCTACCCGAGAATTTGAAAAAAAAATTCAAGGACATCCCAAAGGATTTCGTTCAAAATATCGTCAAGGACATACTAGCTACGAAATGTTGATAAAAAAATGTATTTCTCCAAGGATTTCCCAGTCACATGTCGTCGACTCTTTACAACATATTTTTCAAGGACACTATTCCGCAATTATTTCCAGGACAAGAATCATGGATGTTTTAGAGAATGATTTTCTAGGAGTCCTCGCCAGGAATCGTGGATTTATTCTGAAAAAAAACTGACCGGGGATTTAAGAAAAAATCTTGGATAAATTGAGCACTGAATTCCTAGGATCGTCGCCAAGAATCGCGGATTTTTCAGAAAAATCCTAGCCTGAATTTAAAAAAAAATTCAAGGACATCCCAAAGGATTTCGTTCAAAATATCGGCAACCACTTCATAGCTACGAAATGCGAATCAAAATTTGTATTTGTCCAAGGACATTCCAGGGAATTCCCAAGGACGTTCAGAATAACGGTAAGGACTATGGTGACCAAAAATTGTATTTTTCCAAGCATTTCCTGGTTTCCTAGGCCTCTTAGCCAGGAACCGCGATTTTTTGAAAAATCCTAGCCGGAGATTTAAAAAAAAATTGTATTTTTCCAAGGATTTCCTGGTTACGTAGGACTTTGTAAAATCCTAGCCGGAGATTTAAAAAAAATCAACGACACCCCAAAGGGATTTCGTTCAAGAAGGACTACAAAATGTTGGTTAAAAATATATTTCTAGGATTTTTTGCTACGTGTCGAGACTTCGGCCTAAAATATTTTTCAAGGACTCTATTTCTTAATTACTTCCTTGCCAAAAATTTTGAATATTTTAATAAATGGGTCCTAGGACTTTTTGACGATTTTTTTCAAGGACTTTCTGTTCAAATCCAAATTAGGACACAGGATATCCTTTCAGAAAATGTAGAGGTCCTGTTGGATATTTTTTTATGAAAGGCATTTTTCTCCATCCATGGAAATGTCCATAAAAATCGATTTTAGTTATTTTTTTGGCAGAAAATCATAAATATTTTATGAAAGGACCTTTCTCCCCATAAAATTGTATTTTTCCAAAGATTTCCTGGTTTCCTAGGACTAGAATCCTAGCCGGAGAAAAAAAATCAACGACATCCCAAAGGGATTTCATTCAAGAAGGACTACAAAATGTTGATTGAAAATATGTTTCTAGGATTTTTTGCTACATGTCGAGAATTCTGCCTGAAATAATTTTCAAGGACTCTATTTCTTAATTACTTACTTGCCAAGAATTTTGGATATTTTAAAGAATGGTTTTTTCAAGGACTCTATTTCAATATTATTTTAATGAATGATTTCCAACGACTCCTAGCCAAGAATCGTGGAATTTTTTTCAAGGACTTTCTAGAAATTTATTCAAATATATAGGACTTCCTTGGACTTAGGATGCAGGATATCCTTTCAGAAGACGCTGGATATTTTTTTACGAAAAACTTTGTCGGTGGAAATCGATTTTATTTTTTTTTTGTTTTTTTTTTTTTTTTTTGGCAGAAAATCATAAATTTTTTTATGAAAGGACATTTCTCCCCACAACATTACTCAGGACACACAAATATCGCAGGACTTATCCTACGCCCCGCCGGGTCCACAACAATATCGCCCTTGATTAGGATTAAAACGTCTTATCTCCTTTGGTATAAAGGCCCAGCAAATTATCATAATTTTTTGCAACATCTTCAACACCTCCTTGCGGTTTTGTCCTTGCAGGATTACCAAATCCTAGATTTAGAAAAATCCAAACAAAAATATTTGCATTTTTTAATCCAAAAAATTTGGTTTTCAATACCTGCCGAGAATTGAGGCAAAATATTTTTGTGACAGTGTATTGAGCCCAAGGATGTACGGTACCATGCAGAGAGGATTAGGTGAGACATGAAAACAAGAGCACGAGTCAGAGAAGAAGAAGAAGTGAGGCCAAAGAAAAAAAAAATTAAGGGTGGGTTATGAGCAACAGGACGACGAAGAATCTGGATTACCTAACCACCTTTAAGAAATGGCGAGTATCTGGAGCATATTAACGGTGAAATTGCACACACACACACACTCGCACACACACACACACACATCATCTTAGGTAACCAGGTGTGACGCTGAGATGTTTGGCTCTCTTTTCGCATGGCGGCACGGCGTCGAGTATAAATAGCTTGCCGGGAGAATTTTCAAATCAGTGTACTGGCAACAGTGATTCAAGGCACAGCAGCAAGGAATCGGAAAAATTCAAAATTTTATTTTTTGAAATAATTCAAAAAAAAATATTCATTTCAAAAAAATTCGAAACCAAAAAAATTTTCCAAAAAATTAAAAATCTGCAAAAATGTTAAAGTGGACAGGATCAGTCAATCAAATGCCTCAGGATACTCCTGTAACACATCGTGTGGCATCCCAACGCACACCGCGTCCCACAGATGCCCGACGCCGCCGAAGACTTACCACCCAGGTGAATAGGGAAAATATACCCACCATAGTTACCTCAACACCCATGGTGAATCGTCCCCGTAACAGTCCCCTGGTATTGACTCCTTTGGCGGATATTTTAAATATTACCCCAGAGGCTGTTTCAAGTCCCTCAGGGGCAACACAACGTAGAAGGGTTAGCCGGCAAAATGTGGCTCCCCAAAATCAGCGCAGACATTCCACCATGGGTCTGACCCTACCGGCTGGGGAGGTACCAAAATATGCCACCACTTTGCCAAAATTCGAAGAGGAATATTCTCCAAATGCCCTGCTGCCCACGGGCCAGGAACTGGCAATGCGTGGCATGAAAGAGGATCTTTTCCCAGCAAATCGTCGTTATTTCAATCCTGCTCCTGCCACTGGGGAACAAGAAGTTAAGGAAATTTCCGCAGCAAGACCCAAGAAACGGAATTTGGATCTGGATTTCCTGGCCATAGCCCAGGAAATTGAAGAAGAGAAGGAATCTAAACGGGGAAATTTGGCGAAAAACACCACCGGCCTGCTGTCCAATCGCATGGGTGACCAGACCTTGGATAATCTCATTGATGCCATCTTGGACTCGGCCCGCAAGGAGGAGAAGAAAAAGAAAACCAATTTCACGCTACGCCGGAGGACTCTAATGAAAAACCAAGTGGAGACGGTGCAAGATTTCATTTTATCTCCCTCATATGCGGCAGGAGATGATCCTTGCAGTGACATAAGTTTTATGGGAGGTAATACAAAAGCTTTCGCATATCCCAAGACACCACAGCCTGGTTCACCAATTGTTGCAGCGATTAACACACCATCACCCGCAACTCCCAACCCTGGCACAACATTTTCCAGCAATGAGTTGTTACAATTTCCCACACCCGATCAGTACAAACATCAGGACACCTTTAATTTGGCCACACCCATGCCAAAGGCTAATCTGAAGCGGAAATCCACCTCCGCAACAGGAGGCTGTCAAACGGAAAGTGCCAAAAAATACAAGGCCGATTCGTCGAACTATTTTGAGGTTGGCCTGGCTTTGACGTGTGTATATGTCTAAGAAAGAGAGAGAGAGAGAGAGAGGGAGTGCTGAAACCTATTGCCAAAAAATCAAACCAAATATCCCAAGCTTGTCCCCTCAAGCTATGGAAACTGTAGCATATTACGCTTATAGTTTTTAAGTTAAAAAAATATTTAATTATTTTTATTTACTTTTAGTTCATAATTTTTTGTACATATTTTTTGGTCTTATTCTTAAATATTAAAATATTTAAAAACAAAAATTATTTTAGTTTTATTTGGGAGGTAAAATATTTTTTCATTTGAAAACTTAGCTACTAAAAATATTTTTTTTAAGAACAGGGACTCAATATAATTCGACTAAAAACTCTCAGAGCTCGGAAAGGATTTTCAAGAATTTGGATTTTTAAAAATTATTTTTTTTAAAGACTCTCAAACGTGGATTTTTTAAAAATAATTTTTTTAAGTGACCCTCAAACGTGGATTTTTTAAAAATATCTTTTTAAAAGACCCTCAACCGTGGATTTTTTAAAAATAATTTTTTTTAAAGGACCTTCAAACGTGGATTTTTTAAAAATAATTTTTTTTAAAGGACCTTCAAACGTGGATTTTTTAAAAATAATTTTTTTAAAGGACCCTCAAACGTGGATTTTTTAAAAATAATTTTTTTAAAGGACCCTCAAACGTGGATTTTTTTAAATTTTATTTTTTAAAGGACCCTCAAACGTGGATTTTTTTAAATTTTATTTTTTAAAGGACCCTCAAACGTGGATTTTTTTAAATTTTATTTTTTAAAGACTTTTAAACTAGCCAGACGTAGGTCTTTTAAAAAATATTTTTCCTAGGACTATTCAAACGTGGATTTTTAAAAATAATTTTTTAAAGGACCCTCAAACGTGGATTTTTTTTTTAAATTTTATTTTTTAAAGACTTTTAAACTAGCCAGACGTAGGTCTTTTAAAAATTATTTTTCCAAGGTCTAGCCGTGGATTTTGTTTTAAATTATTTTTTAAAGGACATATGGATTTTTAAGAATATTTTTTTAAGGACATATGGATCTTTTTAAACATTTTTTTTAAAGGATATATGGATTTTTTAATTTTTTTAAAGGACATACGAACTGGAAGTTTTAAAAATAATTTTGAAGGATAAAATATTGAAAATATTTTTTTGAAAGATATAATATTAAAAATATTTTTTTTTTTTTTTGCAAAACCTTTTAACATGGATTTTTTAAAAATAATTTTTCGGATGACGGATGAGTTGGATTTTTTTTAAATAAATTTTTGGAGGAGTAAATATTAAAAATAATGTTTCAAAGGACGTGGGTTTTACTTTTAATAATTTTTAGAAGGGCGTGGATTTCTTTAGTACATGGTTTTCCAAAAAATAATTATTCGAAGGACGTGGAAAAAATAATTTTTCGAAGAATGTGGATTTTTGAAAAACGTTTTCTAAAGGACGTGGATTTTTAAAAAAATAGTTTTCTAAGGGACGTGGATTTAAAAAAAAAATTAAAAGACGTAGATTTTTACAAAAATATTTTTTTAAGGGACGTGGATTTTTAAAAAAATAATTTTCTAAAGGACGTGGATTTTGTAAAAATTATTTTCTAAAGGACGTGGATTTTTAAAAAAATTATTTTCTAAAGGACGTGAATTTAAAAAAAATTTCTAAAGGACGTGGATTAAAAAAAATAATTTTCTAAAGGACGTGGATTAAAAAAAAAACAATTTTCTAAAGGACGTGGATTTTTGAAAAGATAATTTTCTAAAGGACGAGAAGAATTAATTAAAAGTAATTTCCTAAAGGACGTGGATTTTTAAAAATAATTTTCAAGGACTTGGATTTTTTAAAAATAATTTTTTAAAGTACGTAGATTTTTTAAAAATAATTTTCTAAATGACTTGGATTTTTAAAAAAAAATTATTTTCTAAAGGACGTGGATTTTTAAAAACATAATCTTCTAAAGGACATGGATTTAAAAAACTAATTTTCTAAAGGACGTGGATTTTTAAAAAAAATAATTTTCTAAAGGACATGGATTTTTTTAAAACTAATTTTTTAAGAACATATGAACGGGGATTTTTTAAAAATAATTTTTGAAGGATAAAATATTGAAAATATTTTTTTGAAGGATAAAATATTAAAACAATTTTTTTTGGAGGACCTTTAAAGTTGGATTTTTTTAAATAAATTTTTGAAGGAGTAAATATTAAAAATAATGTTTCAAAGGACGTGGATTTTTTTCTTTAATAATTTTTCGAAGGGCGTGGATTTTTTTAGGGCATGGTTTTCTAAAAAATGATTATTTGAAGGACGTAAAAAAAGTAATTTTTCGGAGAATGTGGATTTTTTAAAATATTTTCTAAAGGACGTGGATTTTTTAAAAATAATTTTCTAAAGGACGTGGACTTTTTTAAAAAATACTTTTTCAAAGGACTTTCAATCGTGGATTTAAAAAAAATAATTTTCAAAGGACCTTCAATCGTGAATTTAAAAAAAAAATAATTTTCAAAGGACCTTTAATCGTGGATTTTTTAAAAAAAAATAATTTTCAAAGGACCTTCAATCGTGGATTTTTAAAAAAAAATTATTTTCAAAGGACCGGCTAACATGGATTATTAAAAAAATAATTTTACAAAGGACCTGCTAATATGGATTTTTTACAAACAAATTATGAAGGACAAGGATATTTTAAAAATATTTTTTTGGATTTTGTGGATTTTTTAAAAATTATTTTGCGAAACACCTTTAAGCGTGGATTTTTTTTTAAAATTTATTTTTCGAAACACCTTCAAACTTGGATTTTTTAAAAATTATTTTTCGAAACACCTTCAAACCTGGATTTTTTACAAAATATTTTTCGAAGCACCTTCAAACGAGTATTTTTAAAAAATAAAGAACCATCAAAAATATATTTTTTAAAAAATAATTTTTCAAAGTACCTTCAATCGTGGATTATAAAAGAAAATAATTTTTCAAAGGAACGTCAATCGAGGATTTTTTAAAAATTATGTTTCGAAACACCTTTAAACGTGGATTTTTTTAAAAATTATTTTTCGAAACACCTTCAAACCTGGATTTTTTAAAAATTAGAAACACCTTCAAACGTGGATTTAAAAAAATAAAGGACCTTCAAAAGCGAATATTTAAAAAAAAATTAAAGAACCTTCAAACGTGGATTTTTTAAAAATAATTTTTTGGAAGGATTAGATATTAAAATATTTTTTTGTTCTGAAGGACCTTCCAACATGTATTATCTAAAAATAATTTTTCGGAGGACCTTCACATGTGGGATTCATTTTCGAAAACATTTTTGGAGGACGTGAATTTTTTGAAAATAATGTTTTAAAGGACCATCAATCATGGATTTTTTAAAAATAATTTTGTTAAAGGAACATCAGATGTAGATTTTTTAATATTTTTTAAGGGATCTTCAAACGTTGATTTTTTGAAAATAATTTTTGAAGTAATTTTAAAAGAAACACGAAACTTGAATTTTTTTTAAATAATTTTTTGGAGGACTTTTTAACGATTTATTTAAAATAATTTTTAAAGGACCTGCATTTTTTAAAAATAATTTTTTTGAAGGACTTTTTAGCGTGGATTTATTAAAAATAATTTTTTGAAGGACTTTTAAACGTGGATTTTTTAAATATAATTTTTTGAGGGACTCTTAAAAGTGAGTTTTTTAAATATAATTTTTTAAAGGAACTTTAAACGTGGAATTTTTTAAATAATTTTATTAAAGGACTTTCAATCGTTGATTTTTCAAGAAATAATTATTCAAAGGACCTCCAAACGTGGAATTTTTAGGAAATAATTGTTCAAAGGACCTTCAAACGTTGATTTTTTTAAGAAATAATTTTTCAAAGGACCTCCAAACGTGGATTTTTTAAGAAATAATTTTTCAAGGGTCCTTCAAATGTTGATTTTTTGAAATTAATTTTTTAAAGAACCTTCAAACGTGGATTTGTATAAATAATGTTTCAAAATACCTTAAAAAGTAGATTTTTTAATAATAATTCAGACCTTCAGACGTGGATTAAAAAAAAAATGCAAAGACCTTCAGACTTGCACCCTCAAATGTGTATTTTTTAAAAAATAATTTTTTGAAGGACTTTTAAACCTGGATTTATTAAATATAATTTTTTAAAGGACCTATAAACGTGGATTTTTGGAAATAATTTTATTAAAGGACTTGCAATCGTTGATTTTTAAGAAATAATTTTTCAAAGGACTTCCAAACGTGGATTTTTTAAGAAATAATTTTTCAAGGGACCTTCAAATGTTGATTTTTTTAAAATAATTTTTTTAAGAACCTTCAGACGTGGATTTGTAGAAATAATTTTTCAAAATATCATAAAAAGTGGATTTTTTAATAATAATTTTTCAAAGGACCTTCAGACGTGGTTTAAAAAAAAATTGCAAAAAAACCTTCAGACTTGGATGTTTCAAAAAATAATTTTTCAAAGGACCTTCAAACATGGGTTTTAAAAAAAATAATTTTTCAGAGGACCTTCAAACGTGGATTTTTCAAGAAATAATTGTTCAAAGGACATCTAAACGTGGATTTTTTAAGAAATAATTTTTCAAAGGACCTCCTAACGTGGATTTTTCAAAAAATGATTTTTTTAAAGAACATCCAAACGTGGATTTTTCAAAGAACCTTCAAACTTGGATTTTTCAAAAAATAATTTTTCAAAGAACCTTCAAACTTGGATTTTTCAAAAAATAATTTTTCAAAGGACCTTAAAAAACCGATTTTTCAAAGAACTTTCAAACGTGGATTTTTTAAAAAATAATTTTTCAAAGGACCTTCAAACGCGGATTTTTCAAAGAACCTTCGAACACAGGTAAGGGGTTAGGGTAAAGGCATTAGCATATGTGTGTAGAGAGGTGTTCCATTGAGAGCTGCGGAAAAGAAAACAATAAAACATTGGTAACGAATTGGAAAATTATGTGGGCAGTGGACATCGTAAGGAGAATGAAATGGAATTAGACCGAAGACAGCTGCTACAACAACATGCAGGATGACAAGTGCGATCTTGGCTTTTTCCTGATAACGGGAAGGAAGGAGAAGAGATGAAATGAAATTTGAATTTTTCGTTCAAAACGAGGAGAAGGGGACATTTTCGGAAATATTTTTGAAGTACTATGTGAATCACAAATGTGGACTTGATATAGCATTTTTGGAGGACC